AAAGGTTTTGTGAGTTTTCTTCCAAAAATGCATCATTTTCCCGATATTTGACTTTGAATTTTTCAAATTTGGCATTTGAAGAAAACCGCTGAACATTGATATTGTATTTGTAATTGTATTTGTCTTTTTAAAAGCTACAAATTTGTTCTCTACAATTTTTTTGATAAAATGCACCATTTTCGAGTTATTCGCGAAAAATCGATTAAAAACGTGGATTTTTTCGTCTAAAAGTTGTTACTTTCAATCGCGAATAACTTGAAAAATATCATTTTATAAAAAAAATGTATAGCACATTTTTTGTTTAGAATCACTTTTCTAATCGAAACCTGTAGTTAAAGCGTAAAAAAATTTTCACCCCGGAGATGGGGTGGCAACCACCCCCTAGGCTTTGGCGCACTTTGGTTCGATATAGATTTTGATCCTTAGGCTATTACCTACCTTCTGTTAAATTTCAAGTCAATCCGCGCCGCACGAAAAAATTGCGAGGTGAAATGCTACATTTCCTGGACTATAACTGGTTTGACAGCATAATCGTAGATTTATGTGTAGCTTTCAATTTTTATGAGTTCAGAATCCAGCAGCCCACTGAAGTATGGGATTTTTTATAATATAATTATTTGACAATCTTTTGTTGGCCAACCAGCTACAGCAGAATTGAGCCGAAATACATTATATTCCTATGTTCCGTATTTATTTCGTTCAATCTGTTATAAGTTATTATGTACTAGAACACTCTGGAACAGCCCACCTCTAACTCGTCTGCTTGACGGGTCGATCTCTCCCGCGCTCGAATCATCTGAAGCCTCTCGTCATCTCGCGATGCAACAGTTATACGGGCCACGTCGAATGCATGTTCGTAACAATACATTTTGGAGACGGCTATCGCCGTATTCACGTTCTCCTCCGCCAATCCTCCCGGTCAAAGGCATGCTCCTCAAAACCTCTCGATTCCATTGCTCTTCTAATTTCTTCATTCCATGAGCGTCGAGATCCCCTTCTTTTTCTTCTTCCAGGGAACTTCCATCTGTGCTCGTCTAACACTTCAAACCTTGCATCTGAATTGATAACTAAATATTCTGTTTTCTTCATACTGACTTGTAACCCCCATTTTACATATTCTCTGTGTAAATGCTTTATCATATATTCTAGATCATAAGAATCTTGAGTTAGGACGATTTGGTCATCCGCAACGTTCAGGGAGAACAGTACGTCATTTCCTATGGGGATTCCCATTCCTTGGCAGTGGTTTTTTCAATTTTGGAGGGCTGCCTCAATATATAAATTAAACAGTAAGGGTGACATACTACATCCTTGTCTTAGTCCTTTAGTTACTTTTATTGGCTCTGGTAGTCTATTTCCGATTTTTAGGTAAATAGTTTCATCCCTGTATACTTCTGTGATTATTCCTAAAAGGTATGGACTAATGCCGAGTTGTTGTAAAGCTTGCCACAATTTGAGTCTTGGAACTGTATCATACGCCTTTTCTAGGTCGATGAAGGCTAGATGTAAATCGGTACCAACCGCTATTCTTTTTTCTATTATTTGCTGGAGTATAAACAAGTTATCAGTGCACGATCTACCAGGCGTAAATCCACTATGGTCTTCGCTAATTAGATGTCCTACATCATCTTGTATTTTCCATTTATTATCTTTCCAAACAATCTCCCGAAAGTAGGTAGGACACTTAATCCTCTGTAGCAGTTAGGATCTTTTCGATTACCTCTTTATAAAGATAGACACTTGGTGAGCAGATTTCCATTCAGATGGTACTTATATTTCTTATATTTCATATCATCTATTCATGTATTAAAATCTGGACTCTTGGAGTAAATTTTTATAGTGATTTTCTTACTTTTCTATAGGAATTAAGTTGCATAAGGAGTTATGGGTGTTTTTCTTTAGATTAGTGATAGTTCTCCATTCTTCCGTAGTCTGAGGACCACTAATTAAATTTTCAACTTGGACACATTTTTGTTCACAGAAATTGTTTTTAGCTTTTTTTATTTGATTGCGTACTTCTCAGGTTTTCCTTTGTTATGTTAGTTTATTGCTAGATGTTTTATTTGTTAGCCATTTCTTATATATTTTGTTTTTTTTTTCTTATATCATTTCTTTTACGTTTTCCGTCATTCATGGTGGTTCGTGGTAATTTTTGTCGTTCTTCTCTGTTCCTAATACTTCACAGGCAATTTTTTTATTATCGTTTTGAGGTTGTTGTATTCTTCCATCTCATTTAGTTCCTTTTCTAATCTAGATTAAAAAAGATGTTTAATACTTGGTTGGAATAAAAGGTGCAATTTATTTCTCTCCGTTTTGTACTGTGTAGTATTGTTTCTATCACTTTCGGTGTTCTGTTTATAGTATTGTTTAAAGGGGCACAAAAGATTGGCTAAAAGAAAGTAGTGATCTTTGTGTTGGAATTAGGTATTCATTATTTTTAAACCAAAAGTTGACAGAACACAATTAAGCTGTCCCCTGAACCATTTTTAACTATTTCTCCGTGCCGTCCCACCACGTCGTCGTCTATTTGAGAACCTAGTCTGGCATTTAGGTCTCCTAACAGTGTTATTTCTTGATAACTTTTTATTTTATCACAAATGTTTGATAACTCTTCATAAAATGAATCTTTAACTTGTAGCTTTGAATCGTCTGTTGGCACATAGATTTCAACAACTATTGTTTCGATGCCGTAGAATGTGACAGTTATTGTCAGAATTATTTCAGAGATGTACGTTGTCTTTTATATATTTTTTTCAACCATTTTTTTTATAAGAATTGAGACTCCTGATTTGGTGGTATTTGATGGTAATTAGTATTCTTTATGAAATTTTATGATAAGAAATAGGAGTGCTGCGTATCTCAATATTATAACTTCAATTACGGTTTGAATGTCTTTAGTCAGAAATTTGAAACAAGTCAAATGTTAAGCGAAAGGGCAAGTCTATGCTAGTTATTGACAATTACAAGTATAACTTCCATAAAATGCTTGCTAATAATATCAAATGTTGGCGGTGTGTAGAAAGAAGTTGTTAAAGCTCTAAATATTTGTAACAGTGTGGTTGAATGAAGTGATAACCACAACTATGAAAATTTATCAAAATCAATGTTACACCGGCCAAAATTAAATCATGGTGTTAAGCAGAAGGCAGTGGACGATTTGTTTGAAAAACAATTATTTAAGTTGATACACACCGAAATTAAACGAACTGGCACTAAAATTCTTACTGTAGAAGATGTACATTTGATTAAAAAATATATTTATAATGACAGAAAACAATTTACTCTCAAAATTCCAAAGTGCGTGCAGGAAGTACATAAACAATCTAGCAATCGAGTTACTATAACAACTATGAGTTGCTATCGAACACTTATTGAGACACATTTTCTTGGGTGGCAATCACTGTAAATCTGTTTATAACTAAAACATCAATTAAATTTATCAACAGATATGTATTACGATTTAAAGTTAACAACATTTAAAATATTTTTACCCACATATTTAGTGTCTTCACTCATGTATACCTGGTAACTGTTCTATGATGTAATCCGAAAGGGCATTTTTAGAATATAAATATACCTTTTATAAAGTTTTTTTTAAATAAAAGGTTTTATGCTTTATGGTATACAGCCAACTGCAGGAATTTCATTTTCCTTGAGGATTCTTTTTTATTTCTTCTATTACAAATTGGTGTCAGGTGTGGGGATCATTTACTTTTGTTCATAGCAGATAGTACAGTTGTTTACCATTCGCCCTTTATTCTCTCTGATAAGTACATAGCAATGGTACAAGATATATAAAATAGACACTTTTACTAAAATCACTTTTAGATATTAAGTTATAAATTTGCCAGAATTAAATAAAGTAAACTAGTGGAAAAAATTAATCAATAAAGATTAGAAGAATTTATCAAAATCAATAAAACACGAACGTAAAATTCTATACTTAAAATTAACTTTCAACAAATATTGATGTTCTTCAATTAAATTTTAATTTATTTAAAAGGAAAATATAATATCAGAAAGTTTGAAAAGTTGATCATCCTTGCTTTATCTTAGATTTAAATAAACATACCGATTATATTTCAAGTCAAAACTTCGCATTATGAATTTTCCCTGCTTGCAAGACTTAACTCCTTAAAAGTTTTTGGGTTTTAGAAAGAAAAACAGACTATCCAGTTTCTTTTCAACATCGATTTACAGTAGAAAGTTTCGAGAAGTGTGTACTACAACTTTGGAGTGGGATCTGATTTGTTGGCAGCTGCGGCTTTTGAAAACTTTCTAAATACTGGTTATGAAGATTTTCTTTTAACTTTTATGAATACAGGTCGTTGTTTTAGTTTAACATTTAGGGTTGCAGGACTGTTTTTCGCAGAACTGTTATATATTATTACAGGGTATACAAGATATACGGAGTGGTCCATCATTTTTTTTTTCTTCTTTAAGTGTTACTCGTATACGAAGGTTTGTTTGCCTATACTGGCAAGGCGAAAAAGCAGGGTAGATTTTTACACATGCCAGTGCTGGTAAACAATCGAGTGGTTTTTATCTGAAACTTAAGTAACCGTTTTGTAATTAAAAGTTTTTGAGTTTCCAATAAAAAAAGGGGATCCATGGAAAGTATTCGGAATGAATTCAACAAGCAAATATTGCTGATGACCACAGATATTGTTAAAAATTTAATAATGAATCCGAAGCGGAACACAAAAAAGAGAAAAATTTAGATGAGAAAGTGAAGTAGGCGAGAAAATCTAAGAGAAAATTTTTATTTTTGCCTTTATCTCCTTTATACTAATACCTTCACCCATTTTCTATTGAATTTTTGTGTAAGCATTGTCACGGGCTGTTTTATTTTTATATAGAGATGATTTAGAATTCAAAAGACACTCCTATTCTCTATAAATCTAATCTAATATCTGGCAGTTAGCTAATCATAAAAAATATATGAGGCAGAGTTAGCCCAGTTCTAATATACAAAATAGAAAATCAAAGTAAAAACTTACTCTAGTAGCTTCGTTGTATCCAATTATCACAGCTGTGTACCATTGGGTCGTGCCTTCGGCCCTATAAACTTCAACTCTATATCCAACAAGAACACTAGGGGTGGTTAACAAAATCCGTTGACCATCCTGAAGTTCCGTCCAACGCTTTACGGCTAGTTTCAGTTCGGGGTAGTCTTTTACCCCTGGCAGTGGTCTATCCCAATTCTGAAACAGAGTTAAAGTTAAAGAGTTATACTATTACCCACAAGTTAAAGAGTTATACTATTAGTTCCACGGAGAGAATGGAATTCAAGAACATGAGAACATCTAAGAGCAAGGCTCAGATAAATGCAAATAAAGATCTTCCTTCATCCTATCCATCCGAACAGCGGTAAATATATTTCTGTTCGCCGGTAACAGCGCTGGGGACCCAAGGTCCTTTTTTTACTTAAGAGGATTCGTACTCTGTAGAAGTAAATTTTATTTTGTTTATTATTTATTTGAATATATTTTTATTTAACTTAAACTTGCGTTTTACTGAGTCTATCTAATGCGCGCTTACTTTTAGCGTCTCACGAAATGCGAAGTGTGATAATGTTACGAGATTATGTGCTATGTGCGTGTTATGAGTTGTATGTATATTTGTTTCATTCGACAGAGAACGCGTCGCATGGGATTTGTAATTATGTATGCCAGGACTTTTTATTTAACCTTTTAGCGATGGGACACATCAATAAGCGTTTTAGTGTAACTTTCCTGATAGCCGGGCAACATCAATCAGTATTTTGATTTACTATGTCTATATAAGATGGTTACGGAACCGTTGAAATAATAATCACCCAACACAAATAATCACTGAGCGTTAATCTTTTTGAAGGGTCTCCTTCTTCTTCTTTTTCTTCCTCTTTATAAGCAAAGTCTGTTCATTGGCGGATCTATTCATTGACGGATTAATAAATCTATGGAAGGTTGTCACTTCATCTTTTACGCGGTTGTCCGATATTTCTTCTGCCGATTGGCGACTTATCTCTTGCTATTTTGACGACACGGGTTTCCCCCATTCTGCTTATGTGGTTATTCTATGCTTTTGTTTTATTTAGTGTCCGTTAGTTTATACACTGTACGTTACAGTTTCTTCTAATGACTTCACTTCTCTTTTGATCTACCAGCATATTTTTTGTAATTATAATTCTTTTCAGTACTGTCATATCTGTCATTTCCAGTAACCTTTGTGTTGTGGCTGTGTCAGGTGTTGTTTCTGAGGCATATGTATTAGTGCTCATAAACGGACTTTATAAATTCTTGATTTCATCTCAGTGTTAATGTGTCTGTTTGGCCATACAGTGTTATTAAGACATTCTACCAGTCAATTTGTCTCTCACTTCTTTGTACAGGTCTCTATAGCTGTCATATTAAATTCTTTTGCTCTAATGTTAAATCTGTGAACCAGTCTATCTATTATATCAGTATATTATTTGCAGACTATCTTTACCTTGGTCTCTCAATATTGCGTCGTCTTCGTAACAGTATTTTTACTTCTTTGTTTCCCATTTTTGTATCCTCTTCCTTTGTTAAAGCTTTTTGGAAGGTATAAGAGTTAAATACCAAGACATGGTGGTACCAAGATAGAAACTTCTTCTTCTTTTTACGGTGCCTACCCGTTCCGGATGTTGGCGATCAACATGGCTATACTAACTTTGCTTGCTGTTATTCTGTAGAGTCCGGTTGTCGATGTATTAAACCACTTTCTCAGGTTTTGAAGCCAAGATATTCTTCTTCTCCCTGGTCCCCAAATACCTTGCCCTAAAGAATGAGTTGCAACAAGACGTATCTCTGTTCATTCCTCATAACATGGACAAGATATTCTAGTTTGCGCTCTTTGATGGTATTAATAATCTCGCATTCCTTGCCTATTCTACGTAGGACCTCAACATTTGTCACACGATCCACCCAGGAAATTCTTAAAATATGTCTGTAACACCACATCTCGAATGCCTCGAGTTTTCTTAAAGAAGCTTCGAAAAGGCCTCTTCTCGGTATAATAACGTAGAAAATACATAGCATCTAACGAGATACATTTTGGTAGCAAGTGGTAAATCGTGACTTCTGAAAAGAGACTTCATCATTATGAACGCTGATCTCGCTTTTCCTATGCGTTGTTTTATTTCACTGGAGTGATCCCATTGGCTGTTAATGTTGGTACCAAGGTATGTGTAGCTGTCCACTCTGTCAATTGGATGATGATTAACCAAAAGCTGTGTATTTAATATTTCGCGCTTACCGACTACCATGTACCTTGGTATTCTTCGTATTAAGATCAAGTCCGTGTCCTCTACTTATATCTGATATACGCGATATTATTATTTGCAAACCGTACAGACTCTCTGCAAAAACTACTGCGTCGTCGGCATATCTAATGTTGTTTAGACGCATTTCGTTGACTAATACGCCTTCTTGTGGTTCTCCTAGCGCTTGCTCGAAAATATTTTCAGAGTATATATTAAATAACACCGGGGACAGAATGCATCCTTGCCTCACTCCTCTATCTATGGAGAGTGCCCCTGTCAATTGGACATCCACTTTAATATTGGCTGTTTCGTTGTAATATAAATTATAGATGATTCTCAAGTTCCTATCATCTAACCCCACTTCTTTCAAGATGTTTATAAGTTTATCATGCTTACTCTATCAAATGCCTTTTTGTAGTCGATAAAACAAGTGTACACATCACAGTTAACATCCCTGCATCTTTGCATAAGCACTTGGACAGCGAATAGAGCTTCTCGGGTGCCTAAGGAATCGCGGAATCCAAACTGCGTCCATGATACTTGTTCTTCGCATTTTTTATATATTCTGCCGTGTATCACTTTCAAGAACCTTTTATGTAAGCGGCTCATTAGGCTAATTGTTCTGTAGTCTTTGCATGTCTTGGCATTTACTTTTTTTGATATGGTCACGAAGGTCGACTTTAAGTAGCTTTGGGGTATTTTTCCAGTTACGTATATGTTGTTGAATACAGTTGTTATCCATTTATTCCCTGTTCATCCATAAGTTTTAGGAATTCTGCACAAAACTCGCCAGGCCCTATCGCTTTACACTCTTTAGTTCTTTTAATAGCCGACGTAACTTCTTCAATGGTAATCGGAGGTAATGTTTGGCATTCAGTGTCTTTAATGGTGTTCTGCCTTTTATCTGCAAAAGTTACTTCAACATAATTCTTTCAGGTGTCTATTTTTTTCTTCCAAAGTTAACAGTGGTTTGCCTTGGTTATCTGCCAAACACCCAACTCTTCTAGGTTTGTATTAGCCTGCGGCTTCTTTAACTTTTTTGTGCATATTAAATGAATCGTGTTTATGTTGCAATTGCTGCATTTCCGCACACTGATTTCTTAGATGTGTATCCTTAGCTATTCTAATAGCTTTTTTGATCTTTTTTTCGATTCTTTTGTATAATGACATGTCTTGATCTTTGAACTTTCGCCTCTCTTTCATCATATCTAGAATCTCATTTGTCATCCACGATTTCTTCTTTATTTTTGGTGGTTTGAGAAATTTCTCTCATATGTCTTTTGAAACTGTATGTAACTTTTCTAGCTCCTGACCCATTACATCCGATTGAATAACGGTATTCAAATTTGTTCTGTATATACCGCTTTACACTATGTTCTGTGTGTCGGCCTTTTAGTAGCCTGATGTCGTATTTTGGATTGACACTACGTCTAACCTTCTTTAGCCTGAGCCTAATTTTACCAATCAGTGGGTTATGGTCTGATTTGATATCAGCTCCTGGGTATGTCTTGAATGATGTTATGCTGTTCCGGAATCTTTTATTAATCAGAATGTAATCTATTTTATTTCTCACTATGCGGCCTGGAGTCTCTTGAGGTGATTTCCATGTATATAATCTTCTGTGTGGGAGTTTGACGTAAGTGTTAGTAATCCCAAACTCTTCTTATGTTACAAAATCACCCAGTCGGTCTCCTCGCTCATTTTTTTCTCCAAGTCCAAATTGTGCTATGAATTCTCATGATTGTCCCCTACCAATTTTGGCATTTAGATCACCCATAATCAAAGTTAAATCCTTTCTGGGGAGGCGTTTTAAGGTATTCGATAGTTCGTTATAAAATGCTTTACTTATCTCGTCCGGTTTGTCAGCTGTAGGCGCATATAGAAAGATAAGATAGAAACTTACTATTATGATATTGTTTAAAAATGATATGTCAGCCACAAAATTTTTTTATTTTTCTTCTGGTGCACTCCATTACTAAAGGTTTGCGATCACTACATCAAAGTGTTCTCTATTCTGCGCCACTCTTAGTAAATGTTAAACGTTCATGTCTGTCCAAGTTCTGATATTGCGAAGCCATGACATGGCTCTTCTGCCTACTCCTCTTCGGCATTCTATCTTGCCTATAATAATTAATCGCAGCGAGTTCTATTTGTCATTTCTCATTATGTGGACTAGGTACGAGGTATTTCTTTTCTTAATCGTTGTTATAAGCTTTGACTCTCATTTATGGTATTTACTACTATTGGATTCATAATGTTTTGTGTCCATGATATTCTGAGCACCCTGCGATAAAGGCAGAAAGGCCTTCTCATGGTATTTAATTTTAATGTTTATGTTTCAACTCCATACAGAAGGAGTGATCAAGCGTAGCATTTAATAACTATAATTCGGATGTCTAAGCTTAGCTTTCGGTTATAGATAATTTTTGCTTCCATTTATTGAAGATGTCCCTAGCCTGCTCTATTCGTGTTTTTATTTATATATCTAGATCCCAGTTTCTGGATTATTTATCACTACTTCTGAGTTTCTGACTTTGTGAACTTGTTCTAATTGAGTATTATTTAGGTCAATGCGATAATTTTCATCGGTTTTGCTAATTACCATTAAGTACTTTAGTTTTTTGAAGATCCCATTGCTTCACTTGCATTATATTCTGTTTAGCATATTTTGTAAGTCTTCCATTTTTTTCTGCTATCAGAACGGTATCGTCTGCATACCTTATATTGTTAATATATTTACTGTTTATTTTTATACTAATTTCGGCGCCATCTAGTGCTTGTTTCAATATGCATTCAGAGTTGAAGTTAAGGAGCAATGGAGACATGACAGTCTTGTCGGACACCTCTTGATATACGGACGCCTTTAGTAGTATGGTTGGAGTATTTTAAGGTTGCTTCTTCGTTTCAATAAAGTATTGAATTACGCGGAGGTCTTTT